CGGAGAAATCGCAGGAATTAAAAAATTAAAAGAGAAGTAAAGAGAAGAGTAAAAGGCACACCGAATTTTACCCTGGTTCACCACAACTTTTGGCTAATCCAGCCTCCCGAGAGACTCTCTCGAGCTACACTACTAACTCGTTAAGCTTACGGGTGCTTAACAAACCGTTACAACTTGAGAGTTCGAGTCACACGAACCTCAACGAATCCTTCAAGGGAAACAGTCCTTCCTTTGAATCAACCGAGAGAGATACTATCTCTCAACGTGTCTAAGAACACAAGTACACTCAAGAACGAGACTCTCTTATAGAGTAGATTATGAGTAAACTAAGTACGCTCAAGAACAACTCAACCTTCACACAAAAATGGCTCTAGAAAGCTATGGAAAATGATGATATTTGAATGCAATGAAAGTATAGATGTTGTGAAGTGAATTGGTGAGAAAAGCAGACCCAAACACCCCTTTTTATAGTGCCAAAGAAGGCTCCAACGGACCAATGCATTAAAGGGGTGATTGGCTTGATTTATGGGATTGAAAAGATTTGGGATCTGCAGAATATTGGCTTCACATCGATGTTTAGACTCAACCATCGCTGGTAAGCCAATTTTTCTTCAGTTTTGAAGTCAACGGTCACCTACCCATCGATGGGTACAAGCTTCCCATCGCTGGGTGGGAGGTTGACTTCCAAACAAGGAAAGAATCAACCTTTAATGACCACCAACGGTCAAGCTTTCCCATCGATGGTATACCCTTACCATCGCTGGGTTCCCATCGATGGGATAGGTTTCCCATCGCTGGGTAAGGTCGTTCTGCCTTTTGTTAATATTGCACCAAGGCTTTAACAGCGATGGGTAGAACTCCCCATCGCTGTTTGGCATGGTTCTGGAAGTAGGTTTGGCTTAGGGACTGCTTACCCATCGATGGGAAGATCTTCCCATCGCTGGGTGGGTGGTTATTCAAGAACCCATGGCCTAGCCAACCGATGCGAAACCTGACCGAAAAATTCAAAGTTCTCCAAAATAAAAACCAAGTGTTTGAAAAACTTATTTGTTGTATTTGGCTAAGAAATCAAGTAAGACACTTTAAAAACCACGTCATTTGAGTGAAAACCACGGCTAGCCAAGATTATGCCGTTTTGAATGATTTTTGTCAAACGACCAAAAGCGAAAGATGGTTTTCAAGGTGTTTTTGTTGGAGAACCGTTTAAACATGCCAAAGAGTGAAAACCAATCATAAAAAGTTGAAAACCACTTGGTTGGTTCAGACGCCAAAAACCAACGCTGAAAACCGAATGCCGAATGCCGGTTTCTGAAACCCGAACGCCGGATGGCTTGGTTTTTGGTTTGGGCAAACACCAAGTGTTTTTAATGTTTTAAACATGTTTGAAAAACATTTTTATGATTTAAGAAATGCAATGAAGGATTTTAGCCTAAAGAGCCAAGGTGTAAAGATTGGGTCGGTCTTGATCACAATGAAGACCGACTCAACGACACTAAGACTAAGGTCTTCGTTCTTGGTCTTCTTTTAGCTCTTGTTCTTGTCTTCCTTCGTCGCCTTGTATATTCAATGTTTGACTTGATCACGGCGGTTTGGCATTATCAAAACATGTCATAAAAACAAACACGGCTTTAGTACGAAAACGTGACAAGCCCGTGTTTCAACAGTATACTTCGGATAGTATACCGGTCAAACTCTGCCGGTGTCTAATTCGTCCTTTGAAGTTAGCAAATCCAAACTTCGAGAACCAACCAGTGCAGTTTTTGAAGATTGGAGGATGTCGGCAGGAAGAGTCCAAAAGGACTTGGACTGTAGTGGTTGGCATTGCTGAGGAATCAGTGGAGATCCTGAAGGCATTTTTCCAAGCCAGAACGCGACAGGGGAAGTGATTCCCCTCAGAAGGCGACAGGGCAGCTCGAGGACGAAACCAGTCACCTCGCACCACATCAGCAGCATGCCCCCACGTGGGCGCACGTGGTCCTGTCCCCCCAGCTTAGTATATATACCTCTTGTAACCCTCGAAGAAGGGGATCCGAATTCACTCTCTCTAAACTCCCTTGTAAAAGTGACCGTGCATTCTTTGTTATAATATAAATTGGGATACAGGTGTTCCACCTAAAGTCCTACCGGTCATTTTGAGTGTTTTTACTTTATTTACTTTACTAAATCAAGCCAACTATTCTAGACCCGGTCTAGTATAGTTTGACCGGTCAAGTAATTTACACCATCATTTTTGGCGCCGATCGTGGGACCGTTAAGGTTTCTTCTCTTCTAAACACAAACCTACCCACAAAAACACCACTCAGGTGCAAGCCACCACTGAGGGTACCGGCATCCCCATGGTTGCTACCTTGCCAGCCGTTTCTACTCCGGTTTTGCCGTTGGGTCTAAGCTTGGTCCCAATACCCAGCATGGTCAACCCATTCACGACCCCAGTCCCTTCCGCTGGACCAAGGATCACGTTCCCACCAAGCATGACTCAGTTCATGAATGACCCAGCCAACCTAAAAGCCATCCAGGGCTTTGGCCAGGTCATGGCCATGTGCCAAGAGAATGGGGGGATGCCTTTTCTCCCTGGTATGTTCCCATTCGCTCTTCCAGGCGCGGGAACCATGCCCCTACAAGCTCCAATGGCGGTGTCTCCCTTCCAGACGCCGGTGCCGCAGCCATCACCTTTCTAGCCGCAGCTGGTTAGCACCGTGGCCCCCATCAACTTGACTGGTGCGTTCAACGCTGCAGGGCCGTCGTGCACCTCGCAAGGTACGAATCCACAAATCGCTCCTGATGGTCACTGCGTCTCAGTTGAGAGCGGAGACGGCGAGTGGGACATTCCAAGGGCCCACAAGAAGAAGAAGGGGAAAACTATCCGCCCAGCGACTTCCCGAAACTCCGCCTTCGAAAGGCTGAGGGACAGGGAAGAGGGCCAGAGAAAGTCAGCCAAGCTAAGGCTGGGGCAGAGCGTTGCTCATGTCAGCGCATTCGCCCGGTAAGGCGAGGGAAGGGAGGCCGAGCCTGCCCGCACCCAACGCTCCCATTCAAACTGGCGGGAACCAGCAAGGACGAGGGCCTCTCGTCAAGAAGAGGAAGCAGAGAGCCATCCCAGGTTACCGGTGGCGAACCGGTTAACCGTCCCAAACGATCGCGTCCAACAGATGGTGGCGAAGTTGGAAAGGTTGGAGAAGAAGGTTGGGAGAAGAATGACTGGGACAAACCCCTCGCAAAGTCTCTGTTCACCACAAGGGTCCATCTGACACCTTTCCCGCGAAAGGTCAAGATCGACGCCCCTAGATTCACAGGGAAGGAAGACCCAGAAATCCACCTGGATTCCTTCAATCAGAGTGCAACTATGAATGGTTGTACAGACGAAGAAAAGTGCTTCCTTTTCTTCCAGACCTTGCGAAATCGAGCCACTGAATGGTTAAACAAGCTTCGCCCAGGGAGCATCGATTCGTTCAGCGACTTGGCCTCGAAGTTCAAGGCCAAGTTCCAGGAGAACTGTACTAAGAGAAAGAAATTCACCTATATTAGTACAGCCGGGCAAAGGGAATCTGAGAACCTCACTCAATTCCTTACCAGGTGGAAGGAGGAGGTAGACAAGGTTGAGGAGATGGATGACAAGACAGTGTTGTCCCTCCTCCTGAATGGCCTACGTGCTGGGGAATTATACAAGGAGTTTTGCCGGAAACCCCCGGCCACATATCAAGAGGCCTACCACACTGCATGGGAGTTTGTTGAGGCGGAAACTCAACTCTGGGCGAAGAAAGAAGCTGAGCAAGGTTACAAACCCAAACCGGTGCAGGTCAAGAAGGAAGAAGCACCGGTACCCAGCCGGACAAGGCACCACTATGACCCGGTTGTCCGAGTGGTCAATACAGAAGAATGCCAAGAGATCAGGAAAGCACCGGTCATCCCCCCCAGAAAACCTGACTAGTCAAACAGGGCGATAGTGGTCGGGCATCTATTGTTCGTACCACAGGTCAGATTCCCATAACACTCCCGAATGCAAGAGTGTTAAGGGAGTCATCCGGCAGATGATAGACAGTGGAGAACTGGGCAAAGATTATTTGCAAAAAGCCCAGGAGAAAAATCACTAGTGGGTTAGGCCAGCAGCTCCAGGGAATGACCGGGACAATGACTGGCGGAGGAACAACCGGTAGAGGGTGCAACAGCCGGCCACTGAAAAAGAGCACATCAGCATGATCTTCGGCGGACCCGAGGGTGGAGATTCAGCCGCGCAGCAGAAGAAGTGGGTCCGGAGTATTTACGTTGGTGAGGTAAGTGCTGAACCGGCCAGGCGGAAGCATACCAGGAGGGAGCCGATCGTATTTACTGACCGGGATCTTCCTCCTACCGGTGAAGATCATACTGATCCATTGGTCATCACCATGGACATTAATGGGGTGGATGTTGCGTGGGTACTTGTTGACACCGGCAGCAGTGTCAACATCTTATACATGGAGACTTTCCAAAAACTCAGGTTGTGTCAGACAACACTTGAACCCCTAAAGACTCCTCTCTCAGGATTCACGGGAGATACAGTGGAAGCTGAGGGATCCATAGTTCTACCGGTCGAACTAGGAATAGGTGAAAAAACCGTATGGAAGAAGATGCGGTTCATTGTTGTGGACATCAAATGCGTCCACAACGCAATCCTTGGAAGGCCTGGCATCAATAGAGTCGGGGCAGTGATTTCCATGCCTCACCTATGCATGATGTTCCACACTCCAGGTGGTGTGGGTGAGGTGAAGGGTGACCAGAGGAATGCACGGGAGTGCTATGCCCGGGCAGTCAAGAAGATGACTAAGGGGGTCAACGTCATCTCCCAAGAAATCACAAAGGGAGACACCCGAGAGAAGCTGGAGCCTGAGGCTGAGACGGTGGAGATTGAACTTCACCTGAGTGATTCTTCAACGACGGTCAGAATTGGAGCAAATCTCCTAGAAGATCTCAAGGCGGAGATTACACGGGTCCTCCAAGATTACGCGGGGATATTTGCATGGAGCGTGGCAGATATGCCTTGGATCGACTGCTCAATCATCTGTCACCGGCTGGCAGTAAGGGAGGGAAGTCAAATACCCGGATTCGCTGGCCAACGTGGTCCTTGCCCCCAAGGGAGACACGTGGAGAATGTGTGTGGACTACACAGACTTGAACAAGGCGTGTCCGATGGATTCATACCCCCTCCCCAGTCCAGATCAAATGGTGGATGGAACTGCGGGGTGCGAACTCCTAAGTTTTATGGACGCCTTCAAGGGCTACCACCAAATCTACATGGCCAAGGAAGATGAAGAAAAAACGTCATTCCTCACCCCCGAATGAACCTACTGCTACCGGGTGATGGAGTTTGGCATAAAGAACTCGGGGGCAACTTACCAGCGCATGGTGAACAAGCTTTTCAAGCCATTGTTGGGGAAGACCATGGAGGCATACCTCGACGACATGCTGATAAAAAGCCAGGTATCCCTCAACCACCTGGCTGACATGCGTGCAACATTTGATATCATGTCAAAGTACAACCTCCGGTTGAATCCCAAGAAGTGCGTCTTCGCGGTTCGTACCGAGAAGTTCTTGGGATTCATGGTGACCAAGAGGGGAATAGAGCCCAACCCAGAGTAGATTCGGGCTATCACCGAGATGCAAGCCCCTACCTCCGTTAGGGATGTTCAAAAGTTGACCGGTCGCCTAGCGGCCTTCAGCCGGTTCCTTTCCCGGTCAGCTGAGAGATCCCTGCCTTTCTTCAAAGTCCTGAAGAAGGCCAACACATTTGCATGGGACGAAGAGTGCCAGAGGTCATTTGAAGAGCTGAAAGAGTACCTAGTGTCAGATATTGTATTATCTAAACCCGAGCCAGGTGAAACTCTGTATCTGTACTTGGGAATTTCCCCAAATGCTGTAAGCTCTATTTTAATAGGAGATGATGGGGCACAAAAGCCCATTTATTATGTGAGCAAAGCACTAAATGGATCAGAAAGTAGATACACGGCGATGGAAAAAACAGCCTACGCGCTTTTCATCTCCGCAAAAAAGTTGACATCCTACTTCCAAGCCCACCCGGTGGAAGTGCTGACTAACCAACCACTGGGTGCAGTGTTGCGAAATTCAACATCCTCCGGGAGGATGGTGAAGTGGGCAATGATGTTAACTCAATTCAACATTGAATACCGGCCAAGATCAGCAATTAAGGGAAAGGCCCTTGCAAATTTCCTGGTAGAAATGACCGGTCTAACTCCAGACCAACCGGTCGACAAACCCACTGAGCAATGGTGGGAGATGTCATGGGGCATCTGGGCCTAGAGGGTATGGGGGTGGAATCATGTTTACCACCCCAGAAGGGTTCAAGATCTACCATGCAATCGTCTTCAACTTCAAGCTGACGAACAATGAAGTAGAATATGAAGCTCTTGCTGGAGGGCTCAGACTTGCCCAAGCCTTGAAAATCAGCCGGGTCAGTATCAAATCTGACTCTAGTCTGATTCTTGGGCAAGTGACCGGTAATATGGAAGCCCGAGAGGGACCAATGGCGCAATACAAGGACCTGGTGCTTACCCTGTTGAAAGGTTTCGAAGAATTCAAGATCGCCCAAATACCCCGGGAAGAGAATGCAGATGCAGATCTTCTCTCCAAATTGACGCAGTATGCCCCCGAGCATGTTTCAAAACTTGCCCGGGTAGAAATTCTTGATCGTGCCAGCATTGAGAAAAATTGGAAGTCGCCGCCATAACAGCAACAGGCCAATCTGACCGGTCAAACTTGGTCCGGGCGGATGACCACTGGATGTATGATCTGATGGAATACTTGATGGACGGGAGCTTGCCAGAACATGAAGACTGGGCAAGAAAGGTGAAGCTCAGGGCACCCCGGTTCCAAGTCTTTGATGGGAAGCTGTACAAAAGGGCATTCGGGGGGCCACTCCTGAGGTGCCTAACCAACCGGGAAGCTAAGCGAGTCATTGCAGAAGTTCATGAAGGGGTATGCGCAGCACACCAAATGTCCCGTACCCTTTCCCAGCGCATCATCTTGTTGGGGTATTACTGGCCAACAATTGTCCAAGATTGCAAGAGGTACGTCCAGAAGTGCAGAACATGCCAAGTATTCTACAAGTACCCTGGTAGGCCGGCGACCTACTATCACCCCGTATCAAATGTCATCCCTTTCGCTAGATTTGGGGTGGATATCATTGGAGCATTCCCAATCGCCAAAGGAAAGAAGAAATTTGTAATCGTGGCCATCGACTACTTCACCAAATGGATCGAGGTCGAAGCATTGGCCAACATTACCATGCAACAATGCAAGAAGTTCATTTGGAAGAACATCATCACAATGTTTGGAGCTCCCATGAACCTAATCACCGACAACGGCCCGCAATTCCGAAATCCAAAATTCACCGAATACTTGGAGGGCTTCGGAATGAAGCACAATCGCTCTTCGGTGGCGTACCCCCAAGGAAATGGCCAAGTTGAAAACGCCAACCGAACAATTGTCGATGGTCTAAAGAAACAGTTGGGAGAAGTAGGAAACAAGTGGCTGGAAGAGCTCCCGCATATCATCTGGGCATTCCGAGTAACACCCAGGAGGGCTCACGGTGAGACTCCATTTTCCCTAACCTATGGGTGCGAAGCAAGGCTGCCCATCGAAGCTGAATTCCCAACATTCCGGGAATCAAATTATCAGCCCCAGCAAAATGAAGAAGACCACCGTACTTGGCCGAGCTGAACTTGGTCGAAGAACGGAGAATGGCCGCGGAGGTTAAAATGAGCACATACCAACAAGTGGTAAAAAAGTACCATGACAACAAGGTTGGGCCGCGATACTTCCAAGTTGGAGATAAAGTCCTACGAAGAAGAGAGGCTAGTAGACCGGGCAATGGAGGAAAGCTGGCCAAACACTGGGAAGGGCCATACCGGGTGAAAACTATCATTTGCCCGAGAACCTACCGGTTGGAAACCCTAGATGGTGCACCGGTGGAGAGAACTTGGAATTCCCATCACCTTCGCAAGTTCTACAAATGATTGTAATACTAGGCAAGGCCTACTTCAATTGAATAAAGAAAGTTCATTACTCTACTTGGTAGCAGCAGAGTTGATAGGTCGAACCTATCCTAGGAGAGCTTCCCGGGTGGATCGAATCCACTTGGATAAGCAAACTGAGACACAGGCCGGGACCTGGCACGCCGATTACTACACCGGTCTTGCTCAGTATAAAAAACATTAAACCCAGAAGAGGGGTCCGGAAGAGGGTATGCCTCCAAGAGGGCTGGACCTGGAAGAGGATTCGAACTGTACTTACACGGGCCCATGAGGTTTGACCGGTGTCGGGGAATCAGCCGGCACCGTCAAATTGATTGGGGACTAAAAGATGCCCATTAAAAGAAATAGAAAGGGATCGTCCACCGTGGCGCATCCTATTTCCCCCTTCTCAGGGAAGACTTGAACGAGAGGGTGAGCTAAGGCCTTCCCGGGATGGTAGAAATCAAAGGGCCATTAAAAGACTTAATCACCCAGAAGAGGGGGCCCTGGAAGAGGGGGGCATTTGGACCTTGGAGAGGGTTCGAAACCATTCGACATGGTTAAATCTCCAGTATTCTTACCGGTTAAGGATACTTCAAGAAATTACTAGGTTATAGGTGCTTCCATCTACAACCTACCGGTCAAAAAAAAGGAATACCCCGGTCGGGTATTGATACAACAGAACTTCGAAAGTTCTGCGAGGTAAAGCAGTTGACCGGTCATACCTTAAAATGGGAACCTACCGGTCAAACTATGCTTGAACGAAGAAAGGGAAAGGTGGCAAAAAGAAGGCAAGGCAGTTGACCGGTCATAGCGTGGAGGGGGAACATACCGGTCAAACTGCACTTTATCGAAGGAGGTATCCAAAAACCAAAAGGAAGTTCAGCCGGTCAAACTTTTTTTTTAAGTTAACCATCAAAATGAAGGCATTCAAAAAGGAGAGTTGGAGTTGCACCGGTCAAACTACCTATTTGGATGGAGTTTTACCGGCAGAGGTTAATCAGATCGATGGTTTACGAAAACTATCACATGTGTACCGGTCAAAGTATCTATGGAGGCATTCTAAGGAACAAAAGCGAAGTATCAAAGAGGATGCAAGTAGAAGAGCAGAAACAACCGGTATGAAAAACAAACATAGCATTCGACAAAATAAGAATGTTAAATGTTTACATACTACACCGGGCATCCCCGGGGAAATTCAAAGTTTTTGGTTTACAAAATATGACCGGGCACCGCCAGGGAGAATTCACTCTAAAGGGAAAGGAGGCGCGGGTTCTTCATCGGGGATGGGGGCCAGGCCATAGGCATCAGCAGAGAAGGCCGGGTCCCGCTCAGCCAGGATAGCGTGTGTGGCCTCCCGGTCTCTTTTCTGGCCTGACATAAAGGCGTAGGAGCCGACCTGGGTAATCATTTCCTTTCCATGCTCTTCCCGGTACAACAACCTGAAGCCCTCCATTGTCCTCTCTTCAGAAGAGGTGAGCACCCGGGAAGCTTCCACGAGGTTTTCCTCCATCCATAGTTTGGCCTTGCCGGGAAAGTCTCGCTCCTTCGATTCCAGGTCATCCATCAGCTTCAAGTTCTCTTCTTTCAGCTGGAGGGTTTCTGATTTCGCCTTCCCGGCAATCACAGAGAGGTTGGCTATCTCATCAAGTTGCCGGGCAATCAGGTCCTGCAGCTCCCGGTTGTGAGCATCGACTCCTTTCAGTTTCTCCTCCAGCTGAAGTGACCGGGAGGGTGAGTCTTCCGCGAGCCTCTCCAAGGTTTCTGGCCCAACCTCGCCCATCTATGAATTAAAAAGAAGACTAGTTAGCTAAAACGAGAAAGCAGTTACGTTAAACGAACATACCGAGAGAATGTTACCTCTTTCAGCTTGAGGGTCATCTTGACCCACACCTCTTCCATCGATTCTCCAATCGGGGAATTTTCTCCCCTTCTCTTCTTCGCCGATGGATGTGTGGTGGCGGTTTTCTTCGTCCTCATCTTCCCCTTCCCCTTGTTGGGGGAAGGATTCACCGGTGCCTTCCCAGTCTGAGCGACTCCCCCGGTCTGAGGAGTTTCCTCCTCGGAGTGGACCTTAATTGTCTCCTTCTGGACCGGTGTGGTTTTTGAAGTGTGTGGACCAGCAGCAGAAGATCCACTGGTCGTCTTGGGAATGCCGAAGGACCCGAAGTTCATATCTGCAGAACAAGAGAAAAGTTATGTGATCCATATGTGACCGGTAATATTAAAGGAAGAAGGAAAGAAAGATACCTGGGTGGCTTGGGCCCCCGGCCTCAGCAGTGTTGCCCGGGGAGCGTACCCCGTGCCCCGCTGCATCCTGGGCCTGGGGGGTACCCTTACCACCCGGTTGGATCCTCCAAATCCAAGCCCCGTAGTGGAACATTTGACCGGTGAATGGGTCCCCCTGTAGAAGTTTCTCCAAACTTTCTTCCAAGTCTAGAGCGCTAGCCGGCTCGTGTATTGAGACTTGAGGATGTGGTCATTCCACTTTATGCCGGCCAAGGAAGAATCGGTGGGGAATTTTATAAAAACAAATATTTCCTTCCACTGCCGGTTGCTTTGTGAAAGGTCAGAAATAAATTGGCGACTGTTGTGGCCTCTAAAATAGACATAATCGTCACAACCCGACTTACCAGGAAGGACTTCAAACAAGTAGAGAAACAGGCGAAGAGAGGGGTCGATTTTTAGATGGACACAAATATTTACAAACGCATTAAGGAAACGGTGGGCATTGGGCGTAATTTGCCCGGGAAGGATCTTGAAACAGTGGCATAACTCGACCAGAAGGGGGCGAAGGGGGAAGACAGTGCCACTCTCCAAAGAAATGAAATGAAACCCTGCCATGTCGTCCTGGTGAGGCTCGATGATGTTGGGCCGGTTGGGGTCGTATTCAAGGACATACCCCTCCGGGAGGTTCTTGCGGGCCTTATTTTGGGCAATCTTGGAAACATGGGGGTAGACGTCTGAAGGGTAACTAGTGGGAAGGGGAGAATAACTGGCTGCTTCCAGCCGGTCCACCCATTCCTCGTATGACTCGTTGTCAGGGTCATAGGGAGCCGGCTCGACTTCGGCCGGTGCATCCCTCTTCTGAAAAACCAGACCGGGCATCTGGTTGACAGGTTGCGGCTTGGGGACAGATCGATTGGGAACCTGACTGGGCTTGGAGTCAAAAGAAAGTGACCCGGTTGAGGAAGAAGAAGTGGAGCCCTCAGATGAGGAGTCATCTGAGGACAAAACCCTATCACTACCTACGGAAGACATGACCGGTAATGGGAACGAAGAATGGAAAGAAAAGCTAAGGAAAGAGGAGCTTACTTGGCTCGGAGGGCTGAAGGGCGGAAGCAGAGAGTGCACTAAAAAAAGGTTTCTCTTATAAAAATCTCCAAAAAAGGTTTGATATTATGAGACTACCCTCTATCTATCCTCACTGAAAAGCACGAAAAATTAGCATGTGAGATTCCCAAATTACCCCTATTCTTTGAAAGCTATTGTCGAAAGAATCTAATTACGTTCCACAGCCATTTAACGATATTTTCCCCCTTTTTTGACCCGCCCCGAAATTAACTATTTTAGTTTTCCCCTTTTTTTGACCCGACCCGAAATTAACTATTTCAGGCTTTTCAGCTCCTCAATCGTACGCACACTACACATTTGTTCTGCAAATCGGCAACCCAATTTGAAAGCACAGCAAAACGATAAGATTTGGGAACGTGTTTAGAAGCTATTGCGTAGCGCAGAAGGAGGAAAAAGAGCAGAAAGAGATTACGGTAAACCCTAATTTTCGATACCCCAAAATTTGATTACAAATCCTATTTTTTCTTTACACTAAAGAGTTATGATTCTAATTGAGCCAATTGTGTTATGATTCTACATATCTTATGGTAAACCCTACATATCTAAGATAGAAATAAACCCTACTCCGAAATAAACCCTATTCGAACATAGTCTGCGAAACCATACGAACATTTAGGGAATATTCAGATATCATTATGATGTTTACGAATATTCAACGTTATTTCGATTGGTCTCGACTATTTGATGTTCTTTCGATGAATTTCGAATACACTTAAATGTGATATTTTTTGTTGTTTAGGTTTTTTCGATTGCAGATGGGTACAGATGCTGTTATATTATTTGTTGTTTATGGTGGAAAGTGGACCACAGATCGCGAAGGGAAGTATGTTTACAGTGGATCCGGCAAGAATATAACTTCGTTGTTTTGGGATGTTGCTAATTTGGACTTTGATGCCTTTTTGAAAGCCATTATTCAAAAGCTTGGTTGTGATATGAAAAATCAAAGGCCAAAAATTGCATTTAAAATTCAACGGCTTGAAAAAAATATTCCACCCTTTTCCATCGATTCAAGTGAAACACTACATGTATTTCTTTTGGAATTAAAGCAAAACTTTACAGCCTTGCATGTTGAGATGGTTCCATTTGAACGTGAAGAAAAAGAACAAGAAGAGCAAATACATGAAGTCCAAGAAGAACTCTTGGGATCGCAATCAGCAATTGACCCCTTCGTTCCCCTGATTGATTGCTTCCAGGATGACTTCTTCAATTGTATGATTGTTGCTGATCAAGAATCTGGGCGTGATCAAGACGGTATTGTTTTT